CAAACATCAAGATCCGAGACTCCGCCTCTCGAGCTAGTACATTTGGATAGAGAGCAAAGATAGTGCGGTATACATGAGTTTTTACCTTCCGGACCACAAGGTATGGGGGTTGGTATTCATTTTCAAAGACCAATCGATTCCTTGCGTTCCAAATGAAGCAAAACACAACTTAATATAGCATAACATTGTTCATTACAAAAGCATAATTAGGCCCAAATAAATGACAATTCTTCCTTAATAACAACAATCTTGCTACATGAGTACAAAACATTCCACCAAACATTCTGGTTACAACCTACCATCAAAATCCATCTGTCTTCGCCCCTAATGGTTAAAAAATATCCATTAAAAATCAACCTACCATTCATATCAACTAGATTGATACCGTAAATAACGTGAACCAAGACACATAATAGTAACAACAATTTTTATTTTTTTTTTCATTCTTTCTCTATTCAAAAGTTATTTTAATCTTCTTATCTAGTTTATCATTTAACATGCTCAACAAATTAACCTTCTTAATCTTTATTTTCAATCTTTCGGCCAATAATTTCTTCATAACTTCATCTCAAGTCAATGGACTTAACTTGAATTTTCAACTTCAAATACCACCCTTTCTGGTAAAGTGGTAATTCGAGATCAAACCAAACAAAAAAAAGGCAATCATCAGCCTATAGTGACAGAAAGAGTAATAATTTTAAGCTTTACATAGAACTAGTACAACGCCAGTGTATTACACGGGTGCTTGCTAATTTTTTTTTCTTAAAATTTGAAATTAATGAGAAAAAAGTGGCTATAAATTTAATTTTTTTTTATAAGAAAAAATATATTATCATATATTTTAGTATGACACTTGTACTTGTGCGACTTGGATGTGATATTATAATATTTTTTCTAATTTATAACGCATAAATATATTAAACATAAATATATTAAGTTAGAAATAAGTTTATTTTTTAATTAGTTTTAATAAATATGTAAGAAGCTGGGGGAAAACGGTGCGGTCCCACTAGCATTAAGCGCACCATGAGAAGGGAAAAGCCCATATGAAGCTCAAGTGGGGTTCCATCCCAAAACCAATTGGTGGAAGGAGGAGTAGCCCATTAGACTTATAAGGTGGGTCTATTTTTCATGTATGAACGATGTGGGACAACTCACGAGTGATATTCTAACACGCCCCCTCACTTATGAGTCCTTCGGAAGCCCAAGCCCAACTGGGCGCCCCAAGCCTACTAGAAACAGACTTTCTAGTAGACTCCCATAAATGGGTACGTGGGGAAGCAGACTCCCATAAACGGGTACGTCATTGCACGGTCCCAATAGAACCTGGCTCTGATACTATGTAAGAAACTGGGGGAAAACGGTGCGGTCCCACTAACATGAAGCGCACCATGAGAAGGGAAAAACCCATATGAAGCCCAAGTGGGGTTCCATCCCAAAACCAATTGGTGGAAGGAGGAGTAGCCCATTAGACTTATAAGGTGTGTCTATTTTCTATGTATGAACGATGCGGGACAACTCACAAGTGATATTCTAACAAAATATTTTATTATTATTATAGAGATAAATATAATTTATTTATTTTATATATACAATATGGATGTCAAAACTGAAACTCATTAAAAGATGATTAATTTAATATATTATATATGTAAACTGATAAGAAGTACAAAAAGTTATCAACTAATTATTTTGATAAGAAATTAATAAGAAATAATTTTGCAAGATAATCTAAATACAATGGCGGATCTACATAGGGGCCCGTAGGGGCACGGGCCCCTGTAGAATTTTGTGTAATATAATATATAGATATGTTATATGTATAAATGTATTATTATCTTGACATAAAAATTATATGTTATTAATTATTCTGCAAAGTTATTCAATATAAAAAATAAAAAGAAAATGTTTAGAATTATTTAACCTTCAATAGTATGTTATTTTTTAAGTTGTGGAATTTATGTTCACTACAAAAAAAAACTCTTACATTCCAACGAAAATTTTCCTTGGAATTCTTTATATTTTCCATTGGAATAGCAATTCCAACGGATATTCCTACGTATAAAAATTTGTGAAAAAAACGGCCGTTGGAATAGCTAAAATTCAACGGAAAATCTTATGAAAATAAATTCATACAACTATTCCAACGGAAAAAATCTGTTGGAATTCCTCAATCATCCAACACTTATTCCAACATAAAATTAAGTTTGTTGGAATATTCATTGGAATTTTCAACGGAAATTTTTGCCGTTGGAATTGAAGTGTTTTCTTGTAGTGGTTTATAATGCTATACTCAACTTCTTGTTTATTCCTTTTATCTCCCAAAATTGAAAAAACATAAAAACAAATATTATACATAAATGTATATACTATATAGGGGTTGAATCAAATGTGTCTATTATTAAATGGGAATGAGAGACTCAATTCTAGCTATTAAATAAGAAACAAAGTGTTTGATCAAAATTTTTAATCTTTTTATTTTTTTAGTTGGTTAAATATTGATTTGACATTGACATCCCACGTTGACCGTTGACCGTAGTTTGTGCCCCCGTTGTCCTTAAAGTCTGTGTCCGCCCCTGTCTAAATATATATATATATAGGTCTGCAAGATAAACATTGGCTATTTGACCATACAATAAATTTTTTATAGTAATGATAATAACAATAAAAATTTAATAATGAACATGTAGTAATAGTTTTGATGGATTAATAAGATTGAATTTCTCTTTTAAATATTGTTAAAATGCAGTATAACAGTATCACAACATTTTCCTTAAAAGAATACAACTTAAAGGTTATATTAGTAAAACTATTATGCAATTACCAAGTTAGTTTTTCAATATTTTTGGATTGTCCGAACCTAAAGTTATTGATTTAGAATAATATTATTTTTTATCCAAGCTTAACTACAAAGCATGCTTTTTCGCCAAGTAGGATTCCGAAGCATGTGAAGCTGCCACTTAGGCTCAACGCATTCTGCAATTATATATAGGGGTGATTATGCGAGAACTCAAAGAACACTATAAGACATAATATATGAATCTAGGGTTGCAAACCTAAAAACGAAAAGATTAAACAGTGAAAAACAAAACTCACGTTTCATAACCTTCAACGATAGTACATCCTTATTGGATTTTGCTCTGTTTGTGAGGTTAGCAAACCTTTCTCCACGCCATGGCTAATATTATGCTTTCTAGCTCTTACTACATTCGTAATAAGATTCCTCATGCCTTAAAAATTGGTTAATATTATGCTTTCTAGCTCTTTTTTTTTAGCCCCCAAGGTTCAAATATAATACAAAAGAATATCACATATATTGACTAATAAACATCTTGGTTTGTGTCTATTCGACAACAGATATGCTGACCGAGTTAGATATACAAATAGAATATGAGATAACATTGGTTTTCTGTGAAGGGTGCGTCGTTACGAGACTAAATCTTGAAATATAAAGTGGAAGATGTGGATACACAAATTCCTCTTGCTAGACTGAGGTATTGCTACTGATATACCTGAGATTCTCAGGGAGAATTCCCCTACACAAACATTGGCATGGGTACGACTACTTTTCCTTTTTAGAGAAGGATAGAAATGTCTGTGAAGACCTCGACGTGCTATACTTTGAAGAATTGTGGCTCCATGATGGATAACTTGTCAGGTCGGATCATAAAGATACCATATTTACACGTTGAACGGTTTCTACACGTCAGACTCTTTATTCCACGTAAATAAAGGTTGGCCATAAGCATGAGTGCTAATGACCAGTTTCTGAAATTGGTGTATCGTTTTGAAATGAAATGAAAGGTCATGATATTGTGACCAAAAATGAAAAGGTCGTGATGTTTGTGTAATTTGAAAAAAAAAATGATGTAACGAGTTGTTTTGCTCTATAAGTTTCCGTTTGGTTGCCCATTATGGGTGTGATATCACTATACTTAGTTATATAGGCTAATTCATATATATACTACAATTTTTGAAATCATAAATACGAACCTTTTTTTAATTAAAAAAAAAAAATCACTTTTCCATATATAGATAATACACTTTTATTGTATTGACAAACTATTTCTTCTTTAGTATATGTTTAGTTTATTTAATTGTTTCAACATGTGTATACTATCACGTGACAAGGAGAAAAAACTTTTGTTCATATATCAAACATAAATTATAAATAAATGTTAAATAAACATTGAAATCTTCCACAACATAAACATAAGTAAATCAAAAAATATTTCTCCCCAAAACTAAGACATTATTAGCCATATATATAGTGAATCAGACGTCGAGGTTCTCATCCCCACCCTGAACGGTCGCGCCACCCAAACATCGTCCAACTCTTAAGAAACATCGTCCACCTGAACGGTCATGGCCAGTCGATCCAAGATCTACTTCGCCGCGGAGTACGTTCGTGGTGCGAAACTCTTAAAAGGTGACCAAAGTTGGTCTCAAGGAGGACGCCACCCGCCGCTACCTCGAGCAGTAGCTGGTGGTGGTCGTCATTTATTACCACAGCCATGACACCTACCACCGTGATCTCAAGCCCAAGAGCCTCATCCTCGACGAGGCAAGCAACCTCAAGGTGTCCGACTTCGGGCTCTCTACCCTCCACGGTTCAAAGTGCTAGGACGGGTTCCTCCACACCACAAGCGTGACGCCCAACATCTACTGACAGCCATAAGAAACAACCGATCTACCACTGCTAAGCCGATCCCGAAAAAAAAAAGTAGGAGAAAAAGAAAAAAATAAAAATAAATAAATAAAGCATGAATAAATGAAGCCAACAGATACTTTAACCAATCAAAGAGAAACAAGAATGATTATCAAATCATTTCACGATACAGTCAACAGAGGTCCATCTAAAGCGTACAGACATTTCTTGCTGGCAGACATTACATTACTAAGGTCTATAATAACCACATCATACAAAAGCTCCAGAATTACACAGAACCAACCAGGGAGCTTCTCTTACCCTTTACCAGCCCATACGGCACTTAAAAAACCTAGGCAGCCACTGGCTCTGGGGACGGCTCGGGCGACGGCTGCTCGGGTGACGGCTCGGGGGGCGGGTCGAGTGGTGTCCCGCTGGCACCATTCAGCACAACCACTTTCTTTTTGGCGTCCACATCCACAATAACCGAGTCCCCCTCCTTAATTTCCCTCGAAAGCATCTTCTCAGCCATGCTATCCTCCAGCAACCTCATGATGGCCCTCCTCAGCGGCCTCGCCCCATAGCTCCGACTGAACCCTTCATCCACCACCAGATCCGTAAACTTCTCCGTCACCCGCAGTTCAATCTCCTTCTTCCTCAACCTCTCGAAAACCTCCTTCAGCATAATGTCCGCAATCTGCTTCACCTCCTCCTTGGTCAGCTGCCTGAACACAATCAGCTCGTCCAACCTGTTCAAAAACTCGGGTCGGAAGTAGTCCTTCAGCTTATCGATCACCAATCTCTTAATATTACTGTAACTCCGATCCTCCTCCTCCTCCTTGTCCTCCTCATCATAATCGAGTTGGAACCCAAACCTTCGCCTTGGCTTCGTTTCCTGGTTTAGGATCACACTACTCCCGATATTGGATGTCATGATCAGAAGCGTGTTCTTGAAGTCAACTGTTCGGCCCTTGCTGTCTGTCAAACGCCCGTCCTCCAGAATCTGGAGCATCAGATTGAACACATCCGGGTGGGCTTTCTCGATCTCATCGAAAAGGATGACAGTGTAAGGCCGGCGGCGTACAGCCTCGGTGAGCTGGCCACCCTCCGTGTAGCCGACATACCCGGGCGGAGAGCCGATGAGCTTCGAGACCGTGTGGCGCTCCATGTACTCGGACATGTCGAGCCGGACCATGGCATCCTCGGACCCAAAGTAATAGGCGGCCAGGGTCTTGGCAAGCTCGGATTTGCCGACTCCGGTGGGGCCGGAAAAGATGAAGGAGGCGATGGGGCGGTTGGGGTTCTTGAGGCCCACGCGGGCTCGGCGGATGGCGCGGGAGATGGCCTCCACAGCCTCGTCCTGGCCGATGATGCGGCCGTGGAGGGTCGTCTCCATCTTGAGGAGGCGGTCGGACTCATCGCTCGAGACCTTCTCGACCGGGATTCCGGTCCACGAGGAGACGATGTGCTGGATGTCGGCTTCGGTTACCGTGGGGCCTCCATCACCTGATTCGGCCTCTGCCTTGGTTAGCTCCTTGTTTTTGTCGATCAGGGCGGAGATCTGTGTCTTCAGGTCCATCTCACGGTCACGCAGCTCGCCCGCCTGGGGAAAAAGAAAACAAGGGTTTAAAATTTTTTATTTATTTATTTATTTTCTTTTTTTGCAGAGAGAAATATTACTTCGAGGAAGTTGTGATGCGTGATTCTTTTAATTGAGAAACACAAATAGGGCTTTTTTTGTGATTAAGCAAAACCTTGGGGTTAGATTGGAATAAATATGCAGAATTTTGAAGGGAAAGCTGCTGCGACTTACTTTTTCAAAGTCTTGACCACGGACAGCTTCGTTCTTCTCCTTTGTTATCTGCCTGAGCTCCTTTTCAAGCTCCCTTGCCTCCTCAGGGAGCTACAGAGGAAGAAAGCTGAGGTTATGGACTATGATCTCTATGGTGACGTTTTTTTTTTTTTAAAAAAAAAACAAACA